TGGTTGGGCAGAATCGGAATCACATCTCATTCATGCTGGAATGGCATTCCCCCATTTGAGGGAATGGCCATTCCCTGCCCCTCCCTTGGGAATGAAATCTCATTCCTCGTGATTTTAATTCTCATTCTCATTCCTATATGAACCAAACAGACTATGGGAATAGACCATTCCGATTCCGATTCCAACTACAAACCAAACGGGCTCTAATTGTTGAGAGAGAGAGGATATACCACATGATAAAAATGATGATAGTCATGTTAGTGATCATGAATATGTTGCCAATACGTCAAGTGCTAGTACAAAAATGAGACACTTAAACACGAAATTACTATTGCTTTATGGGAGAGATGCCATAATTGGTAATTATTTTGATTGAGTGGATGTCATGCTTATATTTAGAACTACTATGGCATTGACTCGTTTATGACTATGGACAATATATGGATTTCATTTTAAGTTACTTAATATATTGAATTCTATGTGCATTATTTTCTTTATTTTATTTTGTTTATTAAGCTATTATTCATGTTGTCCAATATTAGTTGTTTATTATACTAAATTTTCCAAGTAGGAATAAATGATAGAATGTATATACCAACTTGCTCCTATGGAAAAGGAGAGATGACTCTACATATGGCAAGATTAGAGGCAATTATGAGTAGTGGTTTTTTCGTTGCCCAATAAGAGGTGACCACAAGGATGAAAGTGAAATTGAAGTAAATATATAACAAATCGATTTTTTAGTTAACCTAAGATCTCCATTTTAATTTTTTTAATTATACATTCAAGAAGCTGATTTTCATGTTTTTGGTTAAAGTTGAATATGAAATTCTCCCTTGTATGCAATGATCCAATCAGTTTGAGAAGTCCTTTTGATGGAAACTACATTGTCTCCACTATCTGCAAAATTTTGCAGATCTCTAGTCTACATTTGTTGGCACTAGAAGTTGTAGTTCAATCTCTACTCTCTTTGGTTTATTTTTCTCACTTTAGGGTTTTGAACAACTGCAATTCTAAAGTTTTCTATCCTATATATAGAGAGAGGTATATGTATGGGGCGTAAGATCCCTATTAGGATTTCCAAAACTTAAAGTCAAGTAAGAGCAAGAAAAGGAAACCCCTCTCCACATAGATATAGGAATCTTATTCCTTCTCTAACATGTGTAGTCAAGATTAGAACATCTTTTAATATTGTAGTTAGGTCTAACAAGTGATTTGTTTTTCTCATTCTAGGGTTTTGAACAACTACAATTCTAAAGTTTTCTATCCTATATATATAGAGAGAGAGGTAGATGTATGGGGGCGTAAGATCCCTATTAGGGTTTCCAAAACTTAAAGTCAAGTAAGAGCAAGAGAAGGAAGCCCCTCTCCACTTAGAGGTAAGAATCTTATTCCTTCTCTAACATGTGTGGTCAAGATTAGAACATCTTTTAATATTGTAGTTATGTCTAACAATTCCTCTACAATTGTTCTTAAGTCCCTATAAATTATTATTTATACATTCAATACTCTACCTAGGATAACCATATGTGTGTCACTGTTTACATCAACTGCCATTAATATGGGCTTTATCCAAGAGTTCTGCTTAGACTGTGAAACTTCCTAAATAAGTTAAAACTTGCTCAAAAACACTTCTAAAGCAACTTCTAGTACATAGTAACTCGACTACATCAAGGGTTATGATGCCCATGTATACAGCCCAATTCTTAGCTGCCATGTGTCCCTAAGGCTATGTTTGGTTTGAAGGAAAATGTAGAAAAAGGTAGGGAAACCTATACACGATTTGTAAAGGTTTCCCTACCTTTCCCTACTTTTTCCTTCCAACCAAACATAACCTAAATGAAATGCTTGAAGGAACTCAACAATGATATAGACCAGCCCTACCAACTGACCTAACCAATCGGTTCACCTAGACACCTCTAACACCCTTAGATCTTGATAAGGATAACCATTGAGAAGCTCGGGTTAGGTATGGTATCCATCTCCTATAGGATTATGACTCCTGACAAGCACAATACCTCCTCTGTAAATAGGTAAGACACCCCTAGAGAAAGGTAAACACTATATCCCCCTTTTGCCTTCACCTCGTCCTCCTGCTTTCATTGATGACTTGGCCTTTTCTACTTGGTCCAGTGACTCCTTTCCTACTTAATGACTTGAGCATTGGAGAGTTCTTCTCAGGAACACACCTCTAAACTCTCTTCTTGTCTTGCAAGTGCCTTTAGAAATAGTTTATCTCACCCAACCTCCTCGACTTGTTTGGTTTTTAGCTTTCTCTCCTCTCTCATCTATTGTCCAATTTCAAACTACAACAAGGTATCCCTTAGTCAATCGGGACACTATAGGATAAGCCACAAAAAACTATCTTATGAATCCTAACTAGGACTTTTCCCGTATCCAACCCAGAGTGATCTAGGAATGGAAATTAGAGTCCTATTATAATTGGAATTCCTCCCAAGAGTTCCAATTTAACTATGATTTCTTACGTTCTCATCTCAATGTTACCTAAAACTTATACATGATTCCTATTCTCACTAAGATTCTAAAACTAGAGTCCTAATTCAACTGGAACCCCTAGCTAGAGTCCTAATGCAAACCAATTTATTGGCTGTGACACTTTCCTCTTATTTAATGGTGTATAATCCTTAGGCTTTGTTTGGTTGCAATGCAAATAAATTTGTACTGATGCAAAATTATGGCAGTGCAAATGATTTGAATGTAAATTTTGACCTATTTTTGTTTTAAATTTTAGTTTATTTTGTTTGATTGCAGTACAAATGAAATAAATTAAGACAGGAACCCAAACAAAGTAAAATCCAAAGCAAAATTAAAAAAGAATTTTGCATGTTTTACATTTACACTCCCATGCATTTGTATTAGTGCAAATAAATCTGCACTACAACCAAACACAACCTTATTGTCAATCCTTAGACGAATTGTAGTATCACTTTTAACTTCCCAATATGTAGAGTATGTAAGTTACTATTCAATAATGACCTCCCAACAGTTAAGCATAATAATAATAAAGAATGGCTAGAATGCTAACAAGAAGATAATAGTTGAGAATAAATAAACCAGTTAAGAACTACAACATGCTATCTTGGTTAGTGGTTCTAGAGTTGACAAAGAATAAGAACAATAATTGTAAATAACTATAGAAATGTAAAGGAATAATTGAAATAGAATAAACACTATATTAAATGGCAATTGCACTTGGTGGTGTGTGCATTAGCAGTTGGAGAGAGAGGACCAACCAACCGCTAACAAGTAGCAAAGAAATGGACTTGCTACACTAGATTTCTTTGATATGGACTAACTATCAAAATCACAAAACTAACTATGGAAAAGAGAAATGTTGCTAGAAATGTAAATCAATATTAATTGTGAACAATAATATCAATAAATGTAAAGGCAATTAGTAAGTTAGTGTAGTTAATGAAGTTAATAATGTTAAAGATCAAAATGTATTCAGCCAACATTGCCTATATCCTCTACCTCAGACCATTATTAAGGATTTTCACTAATCAATTGGATTTTCTGAGCGCTAGCTAAGCTTTTATAATTAGTAGGACTTTATGGGTGTCTACAATGCCTTTTTTAATTGGACTTACACGGGTGCCAACAAGATCCAAACCTATAAGGCTTCGAGGTGTTTGTAAGACATTGTAGTTGAATTTGCAATAAGACCTTAAATGGTGTTTAACAATTTGAACACCTACCTACTTGAAGATCTTCCACTAATATGCATATGAGCAGGTTTATATGTAAGAACAACCTCTCAATAGGCAAATATAAACAGTTACAACTCAAACTAATTAGTTGCCAGAGTATAATGGTTTTCAATTATAAATGAAGAAAAATCAAATGATAAAAGATGTTATTTAATTTTCCTTTGCACATAATAAAAGGAAAATCAAATTGTACCCAAAACATGGATTCTGTCCAAAAACGCCTAAAAAATGATATGGCATGGGCATTTTCTTGATAAACCCTCTCCAAGAAAATGCCCATGAAAACCAAACATCATTCTGTTTCATTCTCTAGCCCATTTCCTCCTTTTTATATATAAAATAAAAAAGAAGGGTTGAGTGTTGACCCGTCTTGTATAATGGTCCAACTGTCACCTTGAAAAGAAAAACGGTTCAATGTTGGATGTTTTCAGAGCACTCTTAAGGGATGAATATCAATGCTGGTATTTGGGACTATTGCTGTTTTTTTGAAAACGGGAAAAATGGCACACATGGTTTTAAAAACCAAACCAGACCGGACGGTCAGACTGGAAAAACCGGGAACCGGTCCATTCTTCCCCAAAATTGTGATTTTTCAAAAAATTGTTGATTTTGGTCAACAAACCGCTGACACAGGCGGTTAACCGTTCGAATGGTTTTGACCATTTTTTATTTTTTTGTTAGAATGGTTTGACCGTTTGGGTCAAACGATCGAACTGTTTGGGTCGAACGGTCGGACCGTTTGCCCCGGTAATCGGACCCCTGACTGGTTCGGTGTCCGGGTCGGTTTTAAAAACCATGATGGAACATGTTGTTTGGTTAGTCATTTTCTCAAAAATTAATAAAAAAAATTTTACTGTTTTTCAAAAAACTACCCATCTTAGAAAACTCCACTTTTGGCGTTTTTTTAATTTTCACAAAGCGTTTTCTGGTATGGTGGCTGATGTGGCTCACTGGCTTTTATGTGATGCCATTTTCTCAGAAAACAACAAGTCAACAATGGAACCAAACAGCACCATGAAAAAACGTTATCTCAAAAATCGAAAAAAACACCCCATTGCGTTTTACTCCCAAACACTCCCCTTGTGATCTCACTGTTGCTGGCGCTCATTTTGATTTTATAGGGAATCCTGTTGCAGCAATACGTTCGTCGGTGTAAATCTTAACCGTTGGATCTGAATATGTAATTTCTTCTACCGAGTTAGGAATTAGGAATTTCGTCATCTTGATTCTCGTCTAACGGTTGATATTCAGATCCTGATCCGAACATACATTCGGACAGAGAGGACAGACCTATTATCAAATGTTGGAACTTGGATCCATGACCTATTCTCTCGATCCGAACTCAACCACCCCCAGAGAGAGACAGAGAGATCTCTTCCCGCGACGTTTGCGTTTCAGTTTCTGCAGCGAATAATGGCGGCCTTCATCAAGCTAGACGATTCGCCAATGTTCCGGAAGCAGGTTGGTTCTCTTTATTTTTTCTTTTTTCAAAAGTTGGTTCTTATACTCATCTATTGTTGTACATTTTACTTCAACAACTATGATCCAAGGTTATGTTTGCTGATTTTGTTTCTGTGATTGTTAATAGTTCCAAGGTTATGTTTGCTGATTTTGTTTCTGTGATTGTTAATAGTTCTAACATCTATTAACTTTCCTGTTACTATGCTTTCATGTGGACGTAAGGCTGAGTTTTTGATTTCTATTGTTATAATCCAATTGATTTATTTCCTCATCTCCTTGATAAGAACCCAGAAGGGTAATAAAAGTTCTCGCTCGCCTTCCCTCCTTCCCCTCTCTATCTTTCCACCTATTATGACCTATTTGCTGTCGGTTGAAACTTTTTGATTTTCCAAATAAGGCATTTTTTATGGAACTAAACAATAGGTAGCATGGAGATGCAAATTGGGGGAATTGGTTTACAACACTTTTCCTCATTTTCTTGACAATTGGTAACTATAGAAATGCCATTTTCCAGAAAGAGGAAGCAGGTATCTTTTGTTTATATATTCGTTGAGCAGTAAAGAGCCTATAGATGCATTGGAGGAGTACGAGATAGAGTTATATTAGCAATCTTTCAATTATTGTGGTTATCTGTTTTTTCATTATGGAAAAACATGTTTCAGTTATCTGATTGAGTGTTTTCTGGGAAGTCAGTTTCTCTGCGGTGTTGTGTTTGCATAGACACGGTTACACAGAGATAGGAATCAGAATCTGGTGTGTTGGGAGTCTGACTTGGCAAGAAGAAAAAACAAAGACTATATAAATTCTAACAATTAAGGTGTAAACTTTATTTTTATTACTTAAATAATAATTTCTAGAAAAAAGTGGTATTCATTTTGCATATTCTCTGTTTACTTATGTCAAATACGCAAGTAGATAAAGGAAAGGGTAAATTAGAGATAACCACCCTACTTAGGAGTTAGGAGGTGGTAACACTTAGACCCCAAACTTTGTTTTGCGACAAAGAGACACCCCCTTTGGTTTTACTTGGCACCTACATTGTCGGATGAAAGTGACCAACCGCCACTTGATTTTCATATCTAGACCCTAAATCCTAAAATTAACACCGACCCGGTAAGACAATTGTGCCCTCCCTCCCGCCCGAGAATTTCTAGATCCCAGCACTTTGTCCGTTGACCCACTAATGAGTTTGACAGTAAAAGTAAAATCACTAGCTCATTTGAGATTCTATGGCTTATATCAATTATATCAACAAAGATCAAAATGATGAAAATAACCATTTTTTTTATCAATAAATGAATTTCAATAGATTTAAAAACAAAAATTACAGGATTGGGAGAGGTAAACTGTTTTATCTCTCCACAACATATATGCAATTACAATTGAGCCCAAAAACAACTGATTCCTTCCCACCCCTTGTTTTTCTAAAACATCAACAAAAGCATTTGCAATCCTTTTAACCCAGCTGAATTGCACTTCCATATCTTTAGTCTGCTATTTAAATCTCTTTTTTCTCATTGTTGAAAATCCAGAAACCCTTGTCTTCGTTTTGCATCCATTCCACTACTAACTTTGAGTCATCTTCGATAATCAACTTCCTAACATCCAGTTCCTTTGCCTTTTGCACTCCTTCCATGACAGTGATAACCTCAACCCTTAGAGAGTCATCTACTCCAGCCTTCACCATCTCTAAAACCAGAGGGACTCAGGTTTCTAGCACTACTCCCATCAAAGTTCAGTTTGATGTAATTAAACATTGGAGGAGACCAAGCAAGAATTATATTGGATCTATGACAATCAGAAATGGTTGCTTCCTTCCATGTGTTCAAGATATCACCTGTTGAGAAGTTAGCAAACATATCCATAGATTTTACCCAATGAACCACTCTCACCGTAATAGTTTCTATGATAGCTTCTCTACTTCTTTCCTTGCCTGAAGACAATCTTGCATTTCTCTCTTCCCATATGGTTCAACTTATAGCTGCCCTAACACTTCTCCATAAAACTCGTTTCCTTTTCTTTGGCCACCTTAAGTAAGAGGAATCAAACAAGCTTTGCACATTAGTTAGGGGAGACCACTTGCACCCTAACAATGAGAAAAACCATTCCCAAATAAAAGTAATAAAAAGGTAGGAGATTAATAAGTGAAAGCAAGTTACTCCATTATCCTTACACATAACACGCCAGTAAGGAGATAAGGTAAGCACCAATTTGTTCTTTTCCTTTGAAGTAAATCACAAGTATTAATTAATTTGATGAAATATTTTTCCGGGTATTGATAAAAAAATCATAGGTATTAATTCTTTCTAGGAAGACTTCCCAATAAAAACCCCCAATTCTTGAAGGGATAGGATTACACCAGAGCTCAACCATTGGATATGGAATTCCCAAAGAATCAATAGGTTGAATGAGGGCCTTGAAAAAAGGAGATCATGAAAAGGAACCAGAGGAGGAAGGAGTCTAAATGCGGCTGTCAGGTTTCGAGGATTCCAAGTAAACCCCATCAAGGACATGAAGCAAACCCAGGACCTCATTAAGTTCTAAATCCCTCACATCCCTCCTTAAACCCAAATCCTAATCAAAGCCAATTCTTGAGCTTGAAGGAACTAGGAAAGATGACACAAGTTTATCTTTATATCATGATAGGGCAAAGATAGAGAGGTATTTATCTTTCAAATATAGATTACCCATCCAAACTTGATCCCAAAATTTTGTAAGGTTACCAGAACAAAGGTCATACACTCATACCTGATAAAGGGTAGGAAGGATGGGAGGACAATGTTAATGGCTTTCCAAGGAGACACTCTAGTAGCTCTAGTTAGAGTGTTCCAACATCCCAACCGTCAGTTGCAAGCCTATGAATACCAATCACTATCTTAGCTCAAAGCTTGTCCTTCTCCATAGGTTAAGGGTTGATTTTAAAAGGAGGTTTAAGAAGAAGAAAAGGCAAGGGGTGAAGGGAAGTGGTGGAAAGAGGCTTGTTTATTCGAAACAAGGGGAGTATAACTTTTTGAAAACCATTCAAGCAAGAAGCTTTGGGGCTGTAGTCGAAAATGAATGGATGTGGTCACAAGATATGAGAAAGGAAGGAAGGTCGCCGCTCATGATGAAGAGAGAATAGAGGGATCTTCTTCCAGTTCAGGTGATAAAGAGAAAGCGGTGAGCTCTGCAATGCCTGTGGTGAATGAGGGCTCCAGTCCTTACTCTACAGAGAACTAAGGACTCAGGTTCTGTGCACTGCTCTCTATCCCAAGAATTTCCATGTCTTGAGGCTAAGGAGATAGATAGCTACGAGGTGGAGAGAGAAGAATACGTATGGAAGCCTGATAGTGTTGATGATGGAACTTTGACGGAGGACTTTGGGTTCCCTTCCAAGCTGGCTGGAGTGAAAAACAAGGCCCTCTCTGTTATCCCCACCAAGGAGTTAAGTTTGGAAGCCCTTTCTTCCCCCTCCTCCCTGCCCTCTGCAGTTCTTGGGTTCTCTCGAGGGGGAAGAAAGGGGGTCATGATTAAAACCAGTGTGCCTCCTTCTTTAAGTCCCTTTGTTCTCCCTCGGGACAATTAGGTTTCCCAGCTAAGGAGATTTTGTCTAAACCTGTACCTCCTAAAATTATTATTTTCTGCTGGGAGGTGTTCTATAGGAAAATCAACAATTCAGACTTATTGCAGAAGAGAAGGCCTTCTATGTGTCTGTCTCCTAATTGGTGTGTACTTTGCAGGGCTAATGGTGAGGATTGCTCTCACTTATTTTTAACCTGTTCCTTTTCTGATGCTATTTAGGGTTGGATCTTTGCCTTGTTTGGTTGCAGGTGGAATTTGACCACAGCCGTAGATCAGCTCTTTGACCCTTACTTCTTTGTGTGGTCCACAAAAATTGGTAAAACAATGTGGAGGTGCATTAGAGTTGCTGCTTTGTGGACAATTTGGGAATAAAGAAATGCGAGGATTTTCCAAGAGAAGGAGAGAAATTTTCAGAATGTAAAGGATTGGATTTTGACCAGGGCTACCCATTGGTTGAGATCATTGGATTCCTTTAAAATATATTCCTTTGATGACATTTGGAGGAACTGGATAGCTGTGGCTAGTAGCAGTAACAGGAAGAACAGGGTACCAGCTTTGTGGGTGCCTCCTTCAGAAGGCTGGACAAAGCTGAATTTTGATGGTAGCAGCCAAGGAAATCCAGGTCCATCAGGGATAGTAGCAGTAACAGGAAGAATTGGATAGCTGTGGCTAGTAGCAGTAACAGGAAGAACAGGGTACCAGCTTTGTGGGTGCCTCCTTCAGAAGGCTGGACAAAGCAGAATTTTGATGGTAGCAGCCAAGGAAATCCAGGTCTATCAGGGATAGTAGCAGTAACAGGAAGAATTAGATAGCTGTGGCTAGTAGCAGTAATAGGAAGAACAGGGTACCAGCTTTGTGGGTGCCTCCTTCAGAAGGCTGGACAAAGCTGAATTTTGATAGTAGCAGCCAAGGAAATCCAGGTCCATCAGGGATAGGAGGGGTGCTGAGAGATAAAGATAGTAATGTGTTAGTGGTGTTAGTGAAGGGGTATTTCAGTCTTTGTACTTGTTGAGAATGCTGATGTGTACTGTTATATTAGTTCGAGTGCCTYTTACTTAAAGAAGGGCACTCAAGTCTTTTCCAATAAGTTAATAATATAATAACAGGTCTGGTCGAATCAAGGGATCAACTTTTTTCCCTAATTCGAACCAGCCTTTCTCTCTTTTCTCTCTTCTCTCTTTTCTTCTTTCCT